CCGATTAATCGCGTATTCCCCTTCCTTTATGCATGGATCTTCCCTTCCTTTCATCTCTCTATCTCTCTAGAACTGCATTTTTCTACCTTTATCTTCCTGAAGCAGAAATATACAGAAATATTTTAAGTAAAGGATATAATGGAAATTACAAATAAATATGACACAAATATATTGTATGTCAGAAAGATTTTAAGTGATCCTTGGGCGTATAAAATTGATAGATATCACAAATCACTTTATCGTGTAAATTTAATTATTTACGAATATAATGTTTTTATTACTATTTCTAGTATAGTAGAAATATTCGGAAGAGTTCGACAACCATTATTTCGATAAATAAAAATCTGAATTATTTGAGAAGGAAAATTTTTTATGAACGTTTATAATATGAGAACATTGATAATATCAGTTATGTTATATAATAATTTAATTACAAAAGTCAAAACACATTAAATAAATTATTTTCAATAATGTAAATGCAGATAGTTTAAAAATTTATTTGTTAATATCTTATTAATTAATACGTTAATGTATTAATACATACAAAAGCACAACAAAGAAAGAAACATGTGTTTAGAGAAAAATTATAATTATACAATTTTACAAAAAAATATATTAAATTAATTTTTTTTAAAATTTTTTAAAATAACAAATCAATTAAAGAAGACTCTCGAAAGTTTCAAATAACAAGAATAGTAAGGCTAATGAGAGCTATTCGCTGTTATTAGTGCGATCATATATAAGATATGTTAAAGTGTAAATATTATATACTACGTAAGTAGTTCCCCCCCCTTGCGCGCCGAACATCCGTCGAACTTTTAAAACGCAAATCTAATTAACTACCGTAGTAATATCACAATTTTTGATGCTTTATAGCATCTAATTTGTTTATATAGAACTTCTTTCTAACATCTCTTCCAGGCGTCTAAGGTAGGCTCCCACTACATTACCTTACTGATGAGTCTAGTAGTGGAAGCCGGGACGAAACGCCAACTCGTGATATTCTTCACAATTCTTATTTTTCATAGATTTAAATTTATTTCTACTTTAAT